AGCCTTGCACCGGAACACAGACCTATCCAACATTTTGGATGTATCGGACCTGTACAAAGTCTAGATACACTTAGTATCTCTGCGTGTGTGTGTGTGTGTGTCTCTCTCTCTCTCGCTCGCTCGCTCGCTCCAGCTGCTGCCAGTTTGAACCTCTCTCTCTCTCTCTCTCTCTCTCTCTCTCTCTCTCTTCACCACTCGCTCTCGCTCCAGCTGCTGCCAGTTTGAACCCCTCCCTCTCTCTCCCTCTCTCTCTCTCTTTCTCTCTCTCTCTCTCTCTGCCGCTCGTTCCTGCTCCCGCTGCTTCGCGTTCCACTCTCTCTCTCTCCCCCTCTCTCTCGATCTTCCCCCGAACATAACGGACCCTCATTACCAATGTATATAATCTAGATTTGCCGTCCGGTTCATCACGACTGGGTTGCATTATGTTCGGGGAAGAAGGTAGTGCCCGCTTCCTCTCTCTCTCTCTCTCTCTCTCTCTCTCTCTGCGGCTAGTTCTTGCTCCCGCTGCTTTGCGTTCCACTCTCTCTCTCTCCCCCTCTCTCTCTCTCTTTCTCTCTCACACACACACATCACAAACCATGGCTACCGACCGGACGTCCGGACGGGCTTCCAGACAGTCCGTAGCAAAATGTACCGGTCCGGTGTCCGATCGGAACTGTGTGGAACAGGGCCCGTGGTCAGAAATTCAAAAAAACAAAAGGGGGCTGCCCAGGACGTTTTCCGGGTCCTGGGCGCCCCCTAAAAAATACCGGCCTGATTTTTCAGTTTCGTTTCGGCCTGCCGGACCCAACCGGACACAGGCGACTGGGGTGGGGACACAGGCGGTTGGCGGGTCAATTTTGAAGTCGGCCTTTTCGAAACTCCCGCCAGCCGCTGCTGCCAGCTTCACGAGTGACTCCTCTATTCGAAGCCACTGCCTGGATCCATCGCCGCCGAAGCCAGTGCTTGCAGCCATCTCGAGCGAAGCCACTGCTTGGAGCCACCACCGTGAGCAGCAGCCGCCGGGACTCTCACCTCTCCAGCGACGCTCGTTGACAAAGCCGCCAGCCAACAAGGTCAATCTCTCTCTCTCTCTCTCTCTCTGTCTCTCTCTCTCTATTCGCACTTCTGGCATATTGGAAAGTGTGTCTGGTTGGTTGGTTGGTGGATCGGTCCGCCTTCCCTCCTGCACTGAGACTCTCTCTCTCTCTCTCTCTCTCTCTCTCTCTCTCTCTCTCTCTCTTGCTGGTCAGCCTTCTCTCCTGCATTGGAAGGGGTTCGCAACTCCCCCCAACTCCGACTCCAATCACGCAGCTGCCCCCACCATCGCGCAACTCTCCCCAACTTCGACTTTCCCCTCCACCATCGCGCAACTCCCCCCAACTCGGACTCCCCCCCGTGAGCAGCAGCCGCCGGGACTCTCACCGCTCCAGCGACGCTCGTTGACAAAGCCGCCAGCCAACAAGGTCAATCTCTCTCTCTCTCTCTCTCTCTCTCTCTCTCTCTCTCTATTCGCACTTCTGGCATGTTGGAAAGTGTGTCTGGTTGGTTGGTTGGTGGAT